TTACAACATTTTTATCACCTCAAGAATAAACCCTGTAACCTTTAGCTGTCACCCCCTAACCCTCTTAGTCCTCCTCCATCTCCAGCCTTAAGCAGCCTTGAGTTTGTTTTCTGTCTGTATAGATTTTGCTGATCTGGACATTTCATGTATATGATAGTGATTTTTTGTGACTGACTTCTTTCACTTAGCATGTTTTCAGAGTGTTGTAGGGGGTATCAGTACTTCATTTGTTTTTTATAGCCAAATATACTCACTCTGTTGTACATATTTTATATGTTTTGTTGATCTGTTCATCAATTGATGGGCATTTAGATTGTGTACAAGTTTTGACTTTTATGAATAATGCTGCTGTAAAGATTCATATACAAGTTTTTGTTAGGCATATGTTTTCATTTCTCCTGGGTATATACCTGGAAGTGGAATTGTTAGGTCATATGGTAGCCCATATGTTTAATTATTTATTAATTAATCTATATTGAATTGTTTGAGGAACTACCAGACTGTTTTCCAAAGCAGCACCATGACTTTGCACTCCCACCAGCGGTGTTTGAGGGTATCAATTTCTCCACATCCTTGACAACACTTGTTATTATCTGACTATTTGATTCTAGTGAGCATGAAGTCGTAACTTCATTGTAGTTTTCATTTACATTTCCCTGTATTTATTGGCCATTTGTATATCTTCCTTGGAGAAATGTCTGTTTAGATCCTTTGCCCATTTTAAAATCAGGTTGCTTGTTTTTTGATGTTGTTGAATTGTAGGAGTTCTTTATGTATTCTGGTTGTAAGTCCCTTATCAAATAAGTGATTTACAAATATTTTCTCCCATTCTGTGGGCTGCCTTATCACTCTGTTGAGAGTGTCCTTTGATGCACAAAAGTTTTAAGTTTGATGAAATCCAACTTACCTATTTTTTCTTTATTGCTTGTGCTTTTGTTGTCATAGCCAAGCAATCATTGCCAAATTCAATGTCATGAAGCTTTTCCCCTATGATTTCTTCTAAGAGTTTTAAAGTTTTAGCTTTTAAGTTAGGTCTGTGATGCATTTTGAGTTAATTTTTTTATATGGTGTGAAGTGAGGGTCCAACTTCATCTCTTTTTGCATGTGAATATCCAGTTTTCCCAACACCGTTTGTTTAAAAGACTGTCGTTTCCCTATTCAGTGGTCTTGGCACCCTTACTGAAAATCATTTGACCATATATGAGTTTGTTTATTTCTGGGATCTCCATTCTATTCCATTGGTCTGTATATCTTTCTTTATGCCAGTATCACATTATTTTGATTATTGTAGCTTTGTAGTACGTTTTAAAATCAGGACGTGTGAGACCTCCAACTTCGTTCTTTTTAAAGATTGTTTATTTGTAGTCCCTTGAGATTCCATATGAATTTTAAGATGGCTTTTTCTATTTCTGCAAAAAACGTCATTGAGATTTTGATAGATGTTGCATACATTGTAGATCACTTTGGGTAGTATTGACATCTACTCCCCTTTCTTTTATCTTATTCATTTTAATGTTATAACTATTTTATCACATTTTCTTATTTATTTAGAAAAGAGATTCTCAAAGTTCTAAAATTTATGATATACTATCTTGATCTTGTACCATCTCATCAGTTTTCTTTAGGACTCTATCTAAATGAAAAAGAGGCATATTTTCATGCCCCTCTTGTTTTCTTCACCTCCTTTCCTCCAGCAAATATTTTCACTTTTCCCCTTCTTGGTCTTATATTCTCCACTATCTCTGTTCATTAAAAATTTTTGGTTGGGGGTAAGGTCATAGATGTGTACGTGACTGATAAAGGTAAAAACATTTTGTGTCAAACCCCAAAGAGAAGATAATGGGAAAATGCAAATAATTAGAGGATGTAGGAGGAGGGAATTATTGTTCTGGGATAGATGAGTATCATATTTCAGTTGTGTTGAAGAATCATTCAGACTTAATTTGGAAGACTGTCCCCTATTTAAGTCAAAAACTGTGAATAGATCAGAGACGTTCAGCAGCATTCATGGAACATAGATTTAAAAACTAGAAATACTGTCTTCTGTTTTCAACTGATTTTATTTGAATTGAATTTATTCCCTGACAAGTTATGAACTGATTTTTAATAACAATATTTTAACAATATATCATATGAAAGTAAAGTTACATGTAGAAGTACATATTCTGCTCACTAATGTATTTTAGAAAAGATAAATACCCATGAGATATCTGTATTCTCTTTTAATATGTACCTTAACTTGATTGGGTATGTTTATTCTGGATGAAATTTAAGGTTTCTTCTAATTCTTTATTCTGCTTCATAGACTATATTCACAGTATTCCCTTTCTATGTTTTAAAGATGGGTTTCTTAAGTGAGAGAGGCTCACTATATGCCAGGCACTCTCAGTTTTACAATCAAACTTGATTCCTGGCTCTGTCTCTTAATAATTATGTGATTTTGATTAAGTTATTTAGTCTCTCTTAGCCTCAGTTTTTTAATATGAAGGGAGAATGACAATTCCTATGTTGTAGAGGTATTTGGCTGAGAGGGTACTTAAAGTTTCTATTAATATCTAGCATATAGTTAGTCACTATTTTCATGAAAATTTTAGTGACCAGTTTGGACATTTTTCAAAATTTGATATATTATGGTTGAGATAAAGGTCTGAAGTTAAAATAATAATTTGTAAGTCAGGAGACTACATATAAATAGACAAACCTGAAGAATAGAGAGATAATCAAAGATTAATAAAGAGAAAAAGTAGAAGATAAAAATTAATTCCTGAAGCTAATGTGCTCTGAGAAATACCTTACTGATAATAATCTTTTTACCTGATTCTATCAATAATGACATTTTAGAAATTTTCTTCTGTTTACATTTAGTTTTACTTCTCTTCTTTTTCTAGTTTTTTAAGTTGGAAGATGACATCATTGATTTAAGGCCTCTCTTGTTTTCTAATATAAGTGGTTAGTTCTGTAATTGTCCTTCTAGGTACTGCTTTCACAGTACACCACAAATTCTCACATGTCCTGTTTTTGTTTTATTATAGTTCAAAAAACTTTCTAATTTTATTTTTTTGATGATCCGTGGGTTATTTGGAAGTACACTATTTAATTTTTGCATACTTGACTATTTTCCATATATCTTTCTGTTGGGATTTCTAGTCTAATTCCATTGTTAGACTAAGTAGAACTTAGTCTAATGGAAGAAAAACATAAGTTAATGAGCTGTTTTGATACAGTGTGGTCCTCATGAAACTGATGTGAGTATAGTACTGAAGGAGCTTGGACGATCTAGAAAAGTTCTTTCATGCAGGTGACAACTAAATCTAAACCTCAGATTAAAAAATGAGTAGGGGTAGGAATGGCAAAATTGAGGGCAGAACTGCTCAGAGAGCAATATGTGCAAAGCCTGAAGGTAACAGTACTTTTGGGGACTAAAGTAGGGTGGCGAAGTGTAGAGTTTGAGTAGGGATGTGATCACATGTGACCGAGGTGACTCACATTTATGAGTCCTTATTGTGTGCCAGGCATGTGTTGTAAGGATGAAGAAAGATAACCCTATTAGATGGATAATATTGTTATAGCCATTGTAAAATGAGGAAATAAAACAGAGAGAGAGCTCAGAGAGATTAAATAACTGCCCAAGATTATACAGACAGGAGATAGAATTTTACCATGGTCATTCTGACTATAGAGCCCAAGCTCTTAACCATTATACCGTTCTGTGTCTATGACTTAGGCCAAACAACAGTTTGAACTTGATCCTGTTCACAATGTAGAGCTCTTTGAGGATTTTAAGTAGGGACATAAATAAAATAAGTAAATAAAATTTTTGTTTTAAAAACATCACCCTGGCTACAGTTTATGTTGGGGGAGGTATAGAGAAGGTGCCTTGAGATACAGTTGAAAAATGTTTTATGTTCTATGTGGAGCGTATACTAATTTTATTTTTTTTATTTTTATTTTTTCATAGATGAGGTTCTGGGATTTATTTTTTTAATAAAAATAAACTTTTAATTCCTAATTTAAATAAATTAGGAGTTTGGGTTTAACAGATACACACTACTATATACAAAACAGACAAACAAGGACCTACTGATAAGCACAGGGAACTACACTCAGCATCCTGCAATAACCTATAACGGAAAAGAATCTGAAAAAAAACACACACATATACATACACATACATATACATATACATATTTATTTACACATATATATAACTGAATCACCCTGCTGCACACCCAAAACCAACACAACATTGAAACCAACCACACCTCAATAAGATAAATAAATAAACTTTTAACAGAAGTTTTTAGCATTATCACAACACCATTATCACACACACACAAATTAACAGTATTTCTTGATACTGTCAGTGGCTGTTAGCCAAAGACCACCAGGGGCACACAGAGTTAAACAAGTTGGGTTTATTACTTATTGCAGCAAGGCAGAATGCACACCATGTTGAATTGCTCAGTATTTCAGTAAAAGGGTGTTAGAAAAGACTTATTAAAGAATTTGGTTTTGTACACATGAAACTTATATAGTTTTATAAATCATTGTTACCTCAATAAAAACAAATGAAAAAGAAAATTATTTTTAAAAGAGAAAGGGGAACGTGGCTCTCAATGCTCTCAATATACATATTAGCAGATTAGCTTGTAAGTTTAATAGAGTGTATGCTAATTTTAAAGTGAAGGTTGTTCTTAACCTCTCTGTCGTTCAAGTTCCTCATCTATTAAATAGAAATGGTAATGGTTCCCTCATCATAGGAGTATAAAACAATCAAATTGCATAGAACTGCACATAGTAAATACTCAGTAAACTTTAGCTATGATGATGATAATAACTTGGTCCTTGCAGGTCAAGCTTAAATTTTAATCATGTTTTCTTTTTTCTTTTAATGTAAGAGTTTTATCACAGAACTTACAGATATGACTTCAGTATGCCACAGTACAATAAACTGAATTAACTACTACCTTCTCCCCACTACTATTATTTTGTTTTTTCAGTTTATGGGAAAAACAGATGGAGACTATTACACTCTGGATGACATGTTTGTCTCCAGAGCAGCTGAGAGAGAATGTTTTGGTGAAGAGGAAGAGAATCAGAGGAAAAAAGCTATTGCTGAGCACCGGAGACTTGCTGCACTAATGGAAAACTGTCTGTATTGTTTTGACAGCTCTCAATTTCCCAAGCACCTTATTGTTGCAATAGGTGTTAAGGTAAGAAATATAACGTTTATTGCCCTAAGGAAACGATTCAGTGGTATATGTAAATTTGCCTATTTCTTCATAAGATTCTAAGAAATCTGTCTTGTCTCATTCTGTTTCAAATATTTTCTAAGTTCCCATGATTCTTAGAATCTTTTTAGAGCGAGTATAAATATCTAAATGATATGAAGCTCCCATTTTGTGTAATTCTTCTCTGTAGAGAGGCAGCATTGAGTAGTGCTCAGGCCCTAGACTTTGGAACCAGACCACCTGGATTCAAATTCTTGCTCTGCCATTTACCATCTATGTGATCTTATTTTCATGATTGGCACTTGATTCTCAGTATTAAAATCACTTCGGAGCTACTTAGTCTAACTTCTGCTTCTTCCTTTACTTTCTCATAGAACCTTTTGTATCTTTATAGAATATCTCATAATTTGAAGAAGTTTATTGTACAGTTGTTGCTTGGTTTCCACGGGAGATTGGTTCCAGCAGTCTCTCTGTACCAAAATCCACAGATGCTCAAGTCCCATAGTCACCCATCTATCTGCAATTCCACATCTGTGGATTCAGCCAACCCTGGATCATATAGTACCATAGTATTTATTGAAAAAGGTCCATGTAGAATTGGACCCACGCAGTTCAAACCCATGTTGTTCAAGGGTCAACTGTAGTTTGTTTTACTTGTTGAGTGTCTCCCTCAGTAGTCTGTAAGTGCTCTGACGGCATAGATAACTTTCACTCATCATTGTATACCACACATGTATCCCATTATATACCAAGCATTTATGTTTATAGTCACTTCTTTCGATAAATGTTAATACTCACTTATTTAATAGTCACTAATAATAGTCACTTATTTCAGTATTTGTCAGTTTAATTCTTTTTTTAACATCTTTATTGGAGTATACTTGCTTTACAGTGGTGTGTTAGCTTCTGCTTTATAACAAAGTGAATCAGTTATACATATACATATGTTCCCATATCTCTTCCCTCTTGCGTCTCCCTCCCTCCCACCCTCCCTATCCCACCCCTCTAGGTGGTCAAAAACCACCTAGCTGATCTCCCTGTGCTATGTGGCTGCTTCCCACTAGCTATCTATTTTACGTTTTGTACTGTATATATGTCCATGCCACTCTCTCACTTTGTCACAGTTTACCCGTCCCCCTCCAAATATCCTCAACTCCATGCTCTAGTAGGTCTGTGTCTTTATTCCTGCCTTACCCTTAAGTTCTTCATGACCTTTTTTTTTTTCTCTTAGATTCCACATATATGTGTTAGCATACAGTTTTTGTTTTTCTCTTTCTGACTTACTTCACTTTGTATGACAGACTCTAGGTCCATCCCCCTCACTACAAATAACTCAATTTTGTTTCTTTTTATGGCTGAGTAATATTCCATTGTATATATGTGCCTCATCTTCTTTACCATTCATCTGTTGATGGACACTTAGGTTGCTTCCATGTCCTGGCTATTGTAAATAGAGCTTCAATGAACATTTTGGTACATGACTCTTTTTGAATTATGGTTTTCTCAGGGTATATGCCCAGTAGTGGGATTGCTGGGTCGTATGGTGGTTCTATTTGTAGTTTTTAAGGAATTATTTTTTACGGAATTATAAAGCAATTATACTGTTCTCCATAGTGGCTGTCTCAATTTATATTCCCACCAACAGTGCAAGAGTGTTCCCTTTTCTCCACACCCTCTCCAGCATTTATTGTTTCTAAATTTTTTGATGATGGCCATTCTGACCAGTGTGAGATGATATCTCACTGTAGTTTTGATTTGCATTTCTCTAATTATTAATGATGTTGAGCATTCTTCCATGTGTTTGTTGTCAATCTGTATATCTTCTTTGGAGAAATGTCTATTTAGGTCTTCTGCCCATTTTTGGATTGGGTTGTTTGTTTTTTTGTTATTGAGCTGCATGAGCTGCTTGTAAATTTTGGAGATTAATCCTTTATCAGTTGCTTCATTTGCAAATAATTTCTCCCATTCTGAGGGTTGTCTTTTGGTCTTGTTTATGGTTTCCTTTGCTGTGCAAGAGCTTTTAAGTTTCATTTGGTTCCATTTGTTTATTTTTGTTTTTATTTCCATTTCTCTAGGAGGTGGGTCAAAAAGGACCTTGCTGTGATTTATGTCATAGAGTGTTCTGCCTATGTTTTCCTCTAAGAGTTTATCTGATAGTCTCTGGCCTTACATTTAGGTCTTTAATCCATTTTGAGTTTATTTTTGTGTATGGTGTTAGGGAGTGTTCTAATTTCATACTTTTACATGTAGCTGTCCAGTTTTCCCAGCACCACTTATTGAAGAGGCTGTCTTTTCTCCACTGTATATTCTTGCCTCCTTTATCAAAAATAAGGTGACCATATTTGCGTGGGTTTATCTCTGGCTTTCTCTCCTGTTCCATTGATCTATATTTCTGTTTTTGTGCCAGTACCATACTGTCTTGATTACTGTAGCTTTGTAGTATAGTCTGAAGTCAGGGAGCCTGATTCCTCCAGCTCCATTTTTCATTCTCAAGATTGCTTTGGCTATTCGGGGTCTTTTGTGTTTCCATACAAATTGTGCCACTCTTATTCAACATAGTTTTGGAAGTTCTAGCCACAGCAATCAGAGAAGAAAAAGAAAAAACAGGAATCCAAGTCAGAAAAGAAGTAAAGCTGTCACTGTTTGCAGATGACATGATACTCTACATAGAGAATCCTAAAGATGCTACCAGAAAACTCCTAGAGCTAATCAATGTATGTAGTAAAGTAGCAGGATACAAAATTTATGCACAGAAATCCCTTGCATTCCTATACACTAATGATGAAAAATCTGAAATTGAAATCAAGAAAACACTCCCATTTACCATTGCAACAAAAAGAATAAAATATCTAGGAATAAACCTACCTAAGGAGACAAAAGACCTGTATGCAGAAAATTATAAGACACTGATGAAAGAAATTAAAAATGATACAAATACATGGAGAGATATACCATGTTCTTGGATTGGAAGAATCAACATTGTGAAAATGACTCTACTACCCAAAGCAATCTACAGTTTCAATGCAATCCCTAATTCTTATATTAAGTAAATAATTATTGTGTACCTGATGTATGCCAGAACCTCAGTAGTCACTGGGGAAAAGTAGAAAATCAGATATACGTGTGGAGCTTGTATTCTAGTGAAATAGAGCAGAGAATAAAAACGTAATGATTGCCCTGATATAAAAGAAAGTGTTGTTATGAAGCAGATATAGAGAGCAAATGTGATAAAATAATGGGAGAGTATTTTTTGAGAAGGTGGTGTAGAAGGCTTCTCTGAGGAGGTATTTTAGTAAAGGTATGAAAGATGAGAAGAAGCAAGCAACATGAAGCTATGAATGAATAATGTTTCAGAAAGATATCAGTGAGTGAAAAGCCTTGAGGAGGAAGTAAGGCAGGCATTTATGGGACAGAAAAAAGATCAGTATAGCTGGAGTGGAGTGAGTGAGAAAAAGTGGTAGGAGAGGAAGTTCAATTAATGCTAGTTTCAAGAACTAATAGTTTGGGGAATATACATATACATATTAATTAATTTGTTTGTTGTATATACATACTTACACATACACACAAGCACCTGTGTAGCCAAAGAACTGGCATTGACTTTTCCATTCCAATTCTAGACTTTAATATCTTTAGGTCATTAAGACAGTCAATTTATCAATTTGGATTTTGGTTTCTTTGTTTCCTTACCCTTCCTTTTCTTTTTCTTTCTTTTCCTCTAGACTTTATCAAAAAGTAAAAGTAAAAATTCCATTCAAAATTTAATCAATCAAAAACCCCACCTTAATCACTTATATTAATTTTTCTATGTTCTTTTCTAGATTGTTACATAAACATTCGCATTTTCATAATTATGACATTATATATAAATATTTCATTCCCTTTTCATCTAGTCCCTACCTTTAAAAAATGTATGAATAAATTAAACATAAAGTAACACAAAGTTTTCAGTAATTCTTTACAAGAAGTTTGGGTTTTTTTCAATGACTTCATTTTCTCTAATGCACTGAAGACAGGCCAGGTCCAGGGGAGGCCCAGAGGTGTGAAGTGTATAAACCTTTTTTTAGCCTCCTACCTTATAGTCGGTGTCCCAAAGTAGGCATTTCTCAATTAGCTAGTGAAAGGAAACTGTTGGCCAGTAAAGAGACATTTTCTATTTCTTCAACTCATATATTATTTCATACATTCCTTTTCCTAGTCTCAGTTTTCCTCTTCTGCTGTGAGGTAATCCACATTTTCCATTAGAGATTTGTAAAGGTATTAAATCTTCTTTTGCCTTTAACTTACTGAGCATTGGCTGATGTTTCTTCCCTCTCAGACTAGTCGTTTCATTCTGATTTCATTTTAATACCATTTGAATCTCTTTTCTTGGTCTATGCTTTATTATGCTATCTTAGCTTTAATAACTGCTATCTAGCTTCAGCCTTTCATCCGTGAATATTTTAATATAGAAATGTTTGAAATATTGGTTCGAAGGAATTTCATCTATTTACTACAATATCTGACTGCTTATCCCATCTATTGTAGCTAATAGGTTATTTTATTAATCTGAATAAACAGTAAGAAATTATTCCTTTTAGTTGTTACCTCAGTAATTATATATGATTATGAGTTTCTAAGGAATTACTTTGCGTTAGGTAGTAATAATTTAACAGTATTCTAAAGCAGTTCAGCAATTCTCACTCAGCTTGAATTTCTAATTCTTAAAGTTAATGTCGTAAATCCAAATGTATTAATGAAGCTATGTGAGTACTCATTAGAGTCAGACAGTTATGTAAGTTTCTGATCATAAATTGTCCCTGCCTTCTCCCTCTTTTTTAAAAATAAAAGTTATCTCTCCCCTTCTTGTCTTAACACTATCCTTTACTTAAAAGAAAAAAAAAGTACTTTGATTTTAGAGCAGTTTTAGATTTACAGAAAAATTGTAAGGCAGTATAGAGTTCCATATACCCTGTGCCCAGTTTCATCTATTATTTCCATCT